GCAAAGGTGGACCTGGATGGGCCAGCTGGGCTTGTGCCCGCTGGTTTGTGTCCCCAGGGGTTTGCTCCGTGCTGGCACGCGTGTGGGGACCAGCCCTGCCAGGACGGCTCCGGGCACCTGTGGGCAGAGCTGGGCCTGGCCTGGCCTGCGGGCAGTGGGGCAAAGCGCCTCTCTGCAGCAGGAAGGGCAAAATCAGTTCCTGCCAGTGGCAGGGGTGCGAAAGCCTTGGTCCATCAGATGCCAGTGTCCACAAGGAGAGGTTTTAGGACTCAAGGTGAACTCTGCACTCATCTGTCCTTCTCTGCTTAAATGTTCTTCCTTTCTCCTTCCTCTTCAGCCGACAACCCTCCCGCAGGGCACCATCAACATGAACCAGTGCACAGATGTGGTGGACGGGGAGAGTCGGACGGGGCAGAAATTCTCCTTGTGCATCCTGACCCCAGAGAAGGAGCACTTCATCCGAGCTGAGAACAAGGAGATCATCAGCGGGTGAGTGGAGACCTGGGGGCTGAGCCACGTCAGCAGGGAGGAAGAGGAGGGTGGGTAATGCCAAGTCCAAGCGCAGCCCCACCATAGCAATGGCGTTACACACCAAGATTGATTCGTGTGTCATGGGTCACTGCAACCACATGGGGTTTTTTGCACCTTCCCCAGGTTTGCCCTGGAGGGAGAGGGGCTCTATGGCCCTGCTCAGTGGTAGCAGGGCTGGCAGACTTGCTCACATGCTGTGCAGGAGGCTGCATGGGGCTCTTGCAGGGCTTTGCACTAAGCTCACCTTTTATCTTCGTTGCGCACTTTGGCAATGGAAACCAAAACAGCCACGCTGGCCAATTTCAACAGGGAGCATGGAAGCTGCCTGGCAGAGCGTGCGCTGCACATCTGGACAGGTCGGGCACAGATGCACTCCCCGAGGAAGGAACTGGAAGGCATAAAGAGATTATGCTTCAAATGTGTTGGCAACTGCCTGCTACAAGGGTGATCCCGGGGGCGGTGTGTAATTGCTTCCTCACGGTCAGCCTCAGTCTTCTCCTCCTTTTTGGCAAGGGCAGGTTTTCTTTTCCCTTCTCTGCTCCCCTGCCTCTTGGACCCCTGCAGTCACCTGGTGCTCTGCAGTACAGCAGGAGCCTGTACAATCCCCTTGAGCTGCCAGATTTATGGCGTGAGCATGAGCACTGACTTCAGCGGAGACCTGTGCAGCGCTGGATGATTTAAGTCCTTCCTCGGTGCTTAGTGCGCGTGCTCCACCATGCCTGCTGGGCTGGAGCCTGAGGCTTCCCAATGTGCTGGCCAGACACCTTATAGAGCCAGTGATTGAGAAAGCTCAGTCTCATTTAGGAGCCTTGGCTGGGCCCCAAGGCTGAGATGTTCTTGAGTCACTAGTTACTTAGGAAGGCCACCATTTTCAGGTCAGTTTTGTTGTCTGCCATTGGGCAATATCCTGCTTACTGCTGCAGAACAACAGAGGCGTTTACCCGCGGGAGAGAGCTGAATTACACTGGAGCGTTTGTTGAATGTTTGGAGAGCGCATCTGATGCTGAGACGCTCCTGGGCTGGCCTTGGCAGCTTTGGTCCTAGCAGGGAAAAAAGGAACTTTTTATTAGCAAAGGGAAGAGGCTCGGCTCAGGGTGAACGCAGGGTTGGGCCAGGAGATGATCTGTGCTGGGGTGACTTCTGCAGTAGCTAGTGCTTTTGCCGCAGCGTCCGTTCCTGTGTCCCACCCAGAGTCGCTGCTGGGTGCAGGTTCCTGGGGCAGCTTTCCAGCTAGGCAGATTCAATGCATTTGGTGTCCTTACAGTCTGATGCTGGCCTCTGTGGAGCCCTTGAGCCACCCCAGGTCCCCCTGTCTCCACACCAGAGGTGGTTTGGGTAGTCCCAGGGCTGCCTGTCCAGCCCTGAGTGTCACATATCCCCGGGTCCTCGTCGGTGCCCCTGGGGCAGGCATGGCATCCTCGGCCATCTCTGCTCTGTATTTATTCATGTCCCTGTGGCAGTCTTGTCTTCTCAGTGTCTGTCTATTCCTTGCTTGTTCTCTGTGGGGAGGGAAAATAGAGGGGTTTGGTTACAACTCACCACCCCCCGGTCCCAAATGAGCATCTGACCTTAGAGGAAGATTAAAATATCGTCACTCTTACGAGTGACTGCCACTGGGATGTGGTTGCTCAGCAACGCCAAAGATTAAGCCACTAAAGAGAGCAAATCCCAGTAGATTTCCCAACTCCAGGTGTTGGATGGTGGCCTAGAAACATCCTTGTCCTTCTTTCTCCTGCCGACATGGGCTCGGATTGAATGCAGCGGTGGTGAGGGTGCTTTTCGAGCACTGAGCCCATCAGCACGGATCAAAAGATGGTGATGCTGTGCTGTTCACCTGCAAACATTTCCTGTGCTGGTCCTCATGGGTCATGACCCTTCCTTGCTCCAGGCAGGACCCGGCACCTTCAGCGCTTGGTGTCTTCCTCCCAGGCTGCTCCACCGCTGAGCTCTGCTCTGATGCTGCCAGCGGAAAAGCTCCCAGCTACAAACAAACAGAGAGAAAGGAGAGACTGGGGAGCAGAGATTTTATCCCAAGGGGAAACTCAGTGTTTCAAAATTAGTTGACATTTGAAACCAGAACAGAAAGCTAAAGGGATGAAACACTTTTCCCGTTCTTCCAGAAGCATGCCATTTTCTCCTCCTCTCTTCCAAATCTTGGAATGAAAGAATTTGGTGCTTCCTGTTGAAATGATTTATGTTTTCAAGCATTCTCTTTGGTTGTGACTCTCTCATTTTAACAAATACTAACTGAAATAGGCATTTTCCTGCAGAGAGCTTGGGAATTGGCTCAGATGTTTACTTTTCGTGTATTAAAATTTCCCTGTGATGTCCAATGCGCTACTGAGAAACGTGAATGTGGGCGATCCCCCCTCTCTCCTCCACCCTTCTCGGCCGTGGCATGCGCCACATCAGGCGGGCAGACCTGTCTTTCCAGAGCTGGGATGCCAAGCACCTGTCTCGGATGAGTGCAGGCATGAGGCAAGCATGCCGTGGAGGAGCTGGCTCTGGACAGGTGGTGAGACAAGGTGGCAGGCTCCTCTCCTCCAGCCGAGGCGGGAGTGATGGATGCTGGTGGAGGGAGGCATTTTTGGGGAGGTCCTGCCTGTAAAACGATACCTCTAGCCCTTGTGGATGCCAGGTGTTGCTGAAAGCGAGTCTCAGCTCCCTCAAACCAACAGGCTCATTCCTGCCAGTGGGGTCTCCGCATGGTCAAGCGATATATATCTTTTTAATGGGCTTGGGACCTTGCTGATGACCCTCTGAAGGGAGGACCATCACTTGGGAAGGCACAAGGCTCTCCCTGCAAAGGAGAGGCTTGTGTGGCGCTGAAAGCATAGCGTTTGGCCAACTTTCAGGGCAATCCAGCTAGCAAAGCAGTAGCGGCTGTAGTTGAATGCTCCTGTTCTCCTCCAGCCCCCTGGTTTTCGTGGTGCACATGCTTCATCAGACCTTGCTGAGGAGAGGGTGCAAGTGCCTTGTCTTCAGGAGAGTCCATTTCCTGGACAGGCACTTTACTGACTCCTTTGCCCTCATGGGCGATGGTTGCTGTTACATATTTAAAAGGCCTTTAGTGACTGCTTCGCCCTTTCTTGCCCTGCCAGTCAGAGGCCGGGGTGGGAGAGCATGCTTGTGCCATAGGCTGGCCAGAGCCATCTCCCAGGGCTCATCCTGCTCTGGGTCTCGAGCTCGTATCTGCTCTGCAGGGGGTTCCTGTTTTTCCTTCCCTTCCCAGAGAATCAGCAGCCTCCCACGGCCTCTTGCTGAGTTCTGCTCCCCTGACCCGGCCCTGTTGCGCTGCCACTTCCCTTCATCCCCATCCTCAGGCTCCTTTTCCTGCTCTGTTATGCCCCAAAACATGGCAAGACTGCCCCTCCGTGCCCTGCTTGGCTTTTCCCTCTCCCCCATGTTCCAGCGCAGAGTTCAGCCTTTTGTTCCCGGATCGTGCTAGCAGTGCCGAGAGGGAGAGACATTGCGGAGCAAGGTGGGGCTGATTTATTGTTCATTGGCCCAGCATCGTATTTTGAAGCAGTGCGTTTGCTTCTGACTGCAAGCATTAATCATCCTGAAAAAGTCCCATTCTGGTTCCAAGCCAGATGAGTTTCATTTGCAGTTGCAGCACGACAGGAAGATTTCCCCGGCTCAGGGAGAATTTGTTTTACGCTCATTGCATGCTTCTGGCATTTATTGCTTAACCGAAGCCCACTTGATGTGGTCATCTCAAAACTCTTTACAACAGCAGCATGCAAAGTGGGGGGGATAGGAGAGCAAAGCATGAAAATCTGAAGCATGAAAATTTTCCAGCAGTGCATGGATCGTGACTGAGTTAACAGGGATACCCAGGCAGCTGGTCAGGCCATAGTGGCAAGGCATAGGGGAATCCATCAAGCAAATGACTTGTGCAGGGGCTGGTCTTCTGAATGCCAAGTTTACCCTGCCCTTTCTAGACAAAAATGCATTGTGTGCAACGCGTTGGTGTTAGCATCTCTGAAAAAGAGGAGAGAAGGTCCTGCCAGGGAAGATCTGCCTGCTCTGATAGCATGCTTTTGACAAGCTCTCCGCTGTCTTTCAGGATCCTTGAATTCCTGTCCCTTGTTATCCTTTGCCACTGCCTCTCTCTTGGAGCAAAGCGGTGGTTGAGTCGAAGCAGTCTTGGGGTTGCCCTGTAGCTGTCCCCTGTCCCTCCTCCTCTCCTGTCCTTCCTCAGAAGTTGTTTTTCCCTTGAGACGTGGTTGCTGAGTGTTGGGACGATTTTTGGGTACTATTTGCCGTGTTGACCCTAGCCATCTTGGAGAGGTTGAGTTCTTCTGCATGCCAAGTTCTAGCTCAGGAGAATTTTAATGGCCAAGTTATAAAGCCCTGAAAACTGTGGTTAGTAATGGAAATGCTGATGCCTCCCAAATGCCACACGACACAAGCTCCATCTCTGGAGGGCAGCCAAGAGGTTTCCTTGCAAGGGAGAGGTTCGAAGGAAGGATGAGGGTGTGTCTACCTGGGTGGCGTGATCAGAGGACTCCCCACATTACAGGGGGAATAGCTTTGGGGTCTGCACCCATGAGCGGTGTCTGCACCCCATGCCTGAGCGCGAACATCACTCCCATCCCCTCCCTGCCTTCCTTCCTCACTGTCCTTCAGGACAAACCTCACCTTTTGCTCTCCTTTCTCACAGGTGGCTGGAGATGTTGATAGTCTATCCGAGGACGAACAAGCAGAATCAGAAGAAGAAGAGGAAGGTAGAGCCCCCAACTCCTCAGGTAACCCCAGGTGGTGACACACTGTGGCCCAGTCCCTTGTGGCCCCCAAGGGGAACAGTTTGTATTCCCCTCAGGCCACAGCGCTGCTCGGCTCCCAGGGAAGTTCTCCCCCACTGTGAGCCGGGCTGACATGAGACGTGGGCTGCTGGCTGTGTTTGCGGAGGGTGAAAGCAGGGGAGAGAGCCCGGGTAGCAAGGATGATGTGAATTAATTTCTGGATGTCAGTTCCCAGGGTCACATGCTGTCCCTTGCCTGGCTTTGAGGATGCATGTGCTGTGTTGCCTGGTTAGCCTGGTCT